GTTATCTTCAACTATTTCTAACAGACTTGTGTGGCTCTCTCTCAATTCTGCACAATTGGATTCAAGGTAAGTAGCATTTAGTTTTGAGCAAAGAGGTGCAAAAACATCCCAATAATCTTTTTCTAAAACTCTGAGTCTCCACACTGTACGAATGTAGTCACACGCTACCCTCTAGTTTGCCATTATTTCCTGACTTCCCCTGTCAGCACATTACAAATGTGCTGATTACAGGTCAACCTGGTGCCTCCACTAGAAATTGCTTTATACCACTGGATTACAAATGTGCTGATTACAGGTCAGCCTGGTGCCTCCACTAGAAATTGCTTTATACCACTGGATTATCACAGATCTGGCTGCCTGAAGATTCCCTTCTCCCTGTGGATTCCAGGACTAGCTGTTCCAAGAAGCAGTCACTTAAGATGTCAAAGAAACTTTCTCTCTTTATCCCACTCTGAGGTGATATGTCGCCAGTCAGTATGGGGATAGATGAAATCTTCCATTATTATTATGTTTTTTATTTTTATAGCCTCTCTAGTCTTGCTGAGCATTTCACAGTCACGATCACCATCCTGGTCAAGAGATTGATAATATATCCCTACCGCTATATTCTTATTATTCGAGCTTGGAAATGCTATCCATATTCTCTAGTACAGTTTGGTTCATTTCAGATTTTCATTTGACTCCATATTTTCTTTACATATATTGCCACTTCCTCACCAGCATAGCTTCTTCTGTCCTTCCGATATATTTTGTACCCTGGTATTACGGTATCCCATTGATTAGCCTCATTCTGCCTAGTTTCTGGGATGCCTATTATATCAATAGGCTCATTGAATACGAGGCACCCAAGTTCCTCCATCTTATTATTAAGATTTCTAGCATTTGTGTATAAGCACTTAAAATTGTCACCTTTTAGGTGTCTGCCATTATGTGATGTAATTGAATGGGACTCTTTCTCATCTGACTATTTCTCATTTTATCCTACCAATATTTAATCACCTTCCACTTTCTCCTCCTTACTAGGGCCTAGTGAATCTCCTTCTCCGCAGAATGTCTCTGTGTGAACCACATGCTCTCCTCACCTACCTGCCCATTGTGGGAAGGTGGCCAGTTCCAGCTGGCAGAACATCCTCTTAGAGGCCATGGACAGATGTTACTATTTAGAGGAGTTCTAAGACTGTTCCAAGTTGTATTTTCATATTACAAGAGGCTTGCAACTGGGGGAGAGGGAGCGTACAAAGCTGGTTTGTACTGGGTGCAGAAGAGCTGGATCTGAGACGTTGGCCCCACATTTATGCACCTCATTTGAACACTGGCAGTTCTTTATTCTGCTAGTGTAACTGTGCTTGGTTCATCAATGAGTGTTGGATGTAACACTGTGCTGCTGATGTGTATTTTAATATGAAGCCATTCATTCTCCATTATTGCTGACTTCCAGAGCTCCAGATGATTTTCGTTTTAGTGTATGTCTAAATGATGCAGACCTAGGGAATTTAATTCTCAACTGAGGTTTAATTCGGTGCAGATCTGAAGGGATTTTAAAAAAACGAACAGGCCTCTGAATAAGTATATGGGCCATTCTTTTTCTCCAATAAGAATTTGGCTTGCATGAGAGCTTGCAGGACGAGTTTGATTCTGAATTATGCACTTATAATCCCATTGCTTTACTCCTGATTTACACTGGCGCAGGGAGGAGGAGAAACAAGTGCTGTCTATTTATGAAATAATTCCATGGGAGCTGAATTATTGTCACCACAGAATACTTTTCTGGATATGTTAAGTGTTTACTGCATTAAAACAATCAACTGTTCTGAACACTGTACAATCCACCCCAAATTTGCACTGAATTATGCAATGCACTTACATTTAAAAGTAACGAATGCACCAAAGTTATGCCAGTGCTTCCATGTACTATAGTTTGTCATCGTACACTTAAAAACGTTTGTTAGGCCAATCCAACTCTTCAGTGGTACTTAGCGGAGCCCTTTAAAAAAGCTACTGTTGTCATGTTTTTGCTAAAATTAGCACTACAGAAAATTCTAGGTTGCACTCTGACGTACAAACTCCCACTGGAAAGGTAAGGGTTAAAGAATTGATCTGCACCCAAGTGGCCTCACTCCACCGCACCTGCCACATCCGCACTGGCTGGAGAAGGAGCTTTAAAAGGGGAGCAAAGCAGCCCAATGGCAGGCAAATGAGCTGACCCACAGCTGATCACAGCCCAGTGCAGAGGGTGGGTACAGGTCCTCCTACCACCCTGTAAGGAGGGATAACTATGGAAGTTTATCCCTCAGTGGGGAACCTCATTGTGGGTAGAAGACCCTGATGATAGGTGGAGGAGAGTCCTGAAGCCTCCTGCTTAATTCCCAAAGGCCTTCCCCACACTGTTGGACACCCTGAAGGGCCCAGATGTGTAAACATGACCTGGCCAGGACAGAGCCCTGGGTGGAGCCATGGCAATAAAGAGGGACTCTGGAGAGAAGATGGTGAGCCTGGCCTTTTCACACCTCCACCAGATGGAAGAGCAGCAATTCAGTTTCAGCATGTACCCCAAGCATTGCTTTATTCTGAACATTTTCTAATGCCAAGATATCTTCTTGCCCCAAGCATTGCTTTATTCTGAACTTTTTCTAATGCCAAGATATCTTCTTTGAGATGAAGGGACCACATCTGCACATAGTATTCAACATGTGGGTGTACCATGGATTTCTAGGCACATAGTATTCAACATGTGGGCGTACCATGGATTTCTAGAGGCTGTAAGATATTCTCTGTCTTATTCTCTATCCCTCTTTTAATGATTCCCAACATTCTGTTTGACTTTTTTGACTGCTGCTGCACACTGAGTGGCTATTTTCAGAGAAGTATCCACAGTGACCTGGGGGGGGAGGGATAGCTCAGTGGTTTGTGCATTGGCCTGCTAAATACAGGATTTTGAGTTCAATCCTTGTGGAGGCCATGGGGGGGAATTTGTCAGGGTTGGTACTTGGTCTTGCTGTGAAGGACTGGACTTGATGATCTTTCAAGGCCCCTTCCAGTTCTAGGAGATAAGCAACCTCCATTAAATTTAATTTTTTAATTTTAATCTCTCTCTTGAGTGGTATTATCTGATTTAGTCCCCATAATTTTGTATGTATAGTTGGGATTATATTTCCAATATGCGCTACTTTGCATTTTTTTAGCATTACAATTCATGAGCCATTTTGTTTCCCAGTCACCTTCCTATGTAAGATCCCTTTGAAGCTCTTCACAGTCTGCTTCGGGCATAACTATCTAGAGCTGTTGAATATCATCTGCAAATTTTGCCACCTCTCTGTTTCCCCATTTCCCCAGATAATTTATGAATATGTTGAATACGCTTGGTCACAGCATGGACCCCTGTGGGACACCACTAGTTACCTCTCTCCATTCTGAAAACTGACCTTTTATTCCCACTTTTTGTTTCCTGTCTTTTAACCAGTTACCAATTGATGAGAGGACCTTCCTTCTTATCCCATGACAGGTTGTTTTGCTTAAGAGTCTTTGGTGCACGCCCTTGTCAAAGGCTTTCTGGAAATCTAAGTACACTATATCCATTGGATCCCCTTTGTCCACAAGCTTGTTGACCCTCTCAAAGAATTCTCATAGATTGGTGATGCGTGAGTTCTCTTTACAGAAGCTATGTTGACATTTTCCCCAACAAATTATGTTCATCTATAAAAATGATGAGAAGTCCTGTGGCACCTTATAGACTAACAGATTTAGTCTGATGAAGTGGGTCTTTGCTCATGGAAGCTTATGCTCCAATAAATCTGTTAGTCTATAAGGTGCCACAGGACTTGTCGTTTTTGCAGATTCAGACTAACACAGCTACCCCTCTGATACTATGTTCATCTATGTATCTGACAGTTCTGTTCTTTACTATTGTTTCAATCAATTTGCCTGGTTCTGAATTTAGACTTACCAGTCTGTAATTGCCAGGATCACTTGTAGAAAATTGGTGTCACATTAACTATCCTGCAGTCATTTGTTACAGAAGATGATTTTAACTGTATCTGAAAGCTCCATCTTTGAAACTGTCAAGCTGCTATCAGGCCAACTAGCTGTCAAACTAGAGTGACCTGTTCTCCCTGCCAGTTCTATGAGACCTTTGCTAACCTTACCAGTAACACTCACTGGCTACGTCTAGACTACATCCCTTTTTCGTAAAAGGGATGTAAATTAGACGTATCACAATTGCTAATGAAGCGGGGATTTAAATCTCCCCTACTTCATTAGCATAAAAATGGCTGTTGCTTTTTTCCCACACGGAGCTTTGTCGGAAAAAAGCGCCAGTCTAGACGCTGATCTTGCGGAAAATAAAGCCTTTTCCGAAAGATCCGGCTTTATTTTCCGCAAGATCAGCATCTAGACTGGCGCTTTTTCCAAACAAAGCTCCGTGCAGAAAAAAAGTGGCTGCCATTTTTATGCTAATGAAGCGGGGGAGATTTAAATCCCCGCTTCATTAGCAATTGCAATACATCTAATTTACATCCCTTTTACGAAAAAGGGATGTAGTCTAGACGTAGCCCTTGTGTTTCACTTGAACTCTTTTTCAAGCAACACCAGGAGTTATTGACTAAAATCTCCCATGAGAAATAAAATCAGTTCTAATATTGCTGGTTCCCCCAAGCCTTCATTTCGCTAGATGTTATTCAAAATATACAAATCTGAATGGGGTTTTAGTTGTTTGGGAAACATCCTTCAAATCTACATGTATAGATGTGGGAACTAGAGGTGCTCTGCTCCTGGACCCATACCTGGCAGCCCAGCTTGGCCGGGATAAGGGGGCAGACCAAATCTACTCTGCTCCTGGCCCCATACCTGCCCCCAGCTTGGCCGGGATAAGGGGGCAGACTATCATTATCTCTATTAATAAAAGTGTTCCTGCACCGCTGCCCACATGGCCCCTTCAGAGCTCATTAGTGGAGAGCACATAGCCAAACACATTCTAAGGTTTCATTCTGCTGTTTTCTCTACAGAAACAAATGTGAGGAAGCAGCATGGAGCTAAGGAGAGGAAAGACCTTCATAAAATCGAGTTTGCAGCTGACCTCTGAGAAAGCACCATTGATAGATGCGATTCCTACAGACAAGGATGGTCTAGGAAAAGACAAAAGGGCAGCAGGTGAGGGGACCAAAAGCGAAGCAGATGTCCAGCCGGCGTGTTTGTCCACACACAAAAGTGATAGATTTTCCAATAGAACAACAAGGAGCGGGGCTAGTGAAAACTTCCTAGCAGCACCTGGGTCTTCCTACAAACTGGTAAGGAAGAGTAAAACCCATGACTGTGTGCTAGGGGGAGAGAAAACAGAACGATGCAGCCACAGTGATAAAGGTGAGAAGGAGGGCTCTTCAGCTGCAGGAAGAAGTAAAGGGCGTCTCATCAATAGCATCAGCTTTTCTGGGGTGGGGAGCACCCTGAATTGCAGTGACAAGAAAGAGGCCATGGTCAGTCCAAGTCAGTCCACTTGCAGCAGTCAGCAGATGATAGATTATAGAAACTTTGCGCCACAGATGCCTTTTGTACCAGCGGTAGCAAAAAGCATCCCCAGGAAGAGGATTTCCCTTAAGAGATCTAAGAAAGGGCTCAGAGATATATTTCACATTAAAAAAAACAAACCTGAGAGCCTAACGCTGCTAGTTGAGAAGGGCAAGAGGCTGCCTTCTCCAGCTTGCAAGAGTGAGCTGCCAGGCAGGCTGGGGAAGTACCTTTTCAAACCCAGAGAAGCCTTTGCAGCTGACTGCTTGGCACAAGACTTCTCCGACAGCGAAATGCAGTCTGACTCCTCCCACGACTACTGCCACGCTCTGTGTGAAGATGTTGCTTCTCTGAAGAGCTTCGATTCTCTCACTGGCTGTGGGGAGATCTTTGCAGACGAGAGCTCTGCTCACGTGGAGCTGGAGAACAGCAGAGAAGTGCGGATGAGGCGATCCAAGGCCAAAGAGAGCCCCGTCCTGGGGTCTTTTCAAGGAGGGGTGGAACAGCTGGCATCCCCTGCCCAAAACGAAGCAGCTGATTTTGCAAAATTTTGGGACAATATCAACAAGTCGGTGCGATTACACCAGAGCACGTTATTTGATAGAAGGTTGTTGAAGATACCCAGCCCTGATTTGGAAAAGAGTAAACATGAGGCTCCTGCTTCAGTGACTGACCTGCTGGTATCACCTGACAAAGATCTTGACAGTTCCAAAGAAAGCTCTGTAGATACAGGGACGCCAAAAAGTGAGCACCAAGAATCCACCTCCACCAGCGATGAGGGATACTATGATTCATTCTCTCCTGGGCAGGATGAGGACACGAAAGAGACCCAGACTCCTGGGGTTCCAGGTAGATTTCCAAGAGATAGTTACAGCGGCGACGCCCTTTATGAACTTTTCTATGATCCCAATGAAGCCAAAATAAGCCCTGTCCTAGACGATGAGCTATGTATGTCTGAAAGCATTTCAGAGCAGGCCATTGAAATCCCTTTGTCAATTTACAGCTTTCATGTGGGAGCAGAGGAAAATTTGGCTTCACAGCCAGCTGCAGACATTATTAGCCAGGGGTTTCTTCACAGCACGTGGAAAGGTAAGGAATGCTTGTTAAAGCTCTGTGATACTGAACTTTCACTGACCATGGGGATAATAAACTGGCTGCGAAAAAACCCAGGGTTCATTTCCCCCACTGACCCGATCAGGAGTCCTGAATTGCAGATGGAAAACAGTGGAGATCCATTGGTCTCTTCTAGTCCCAGTCCATGCTGGAGTGAGGACAGAGCATCTGAGGAAGAAACACAAGCCAAAGGAGAAACAGATACTTCTAATCCAAAGCCTTCTTTGGGTGATGAGAATAATACGGCCCAGATGTGTGTAGAGGCCATGGCTGAAAAAGATGGAAGGGAAGTTTCTTGGCCTCACATAGCTAATGGGCATTCTCAGGAAAGGGAAGGAAACTACTCTGAAGATTCGTGGACTGTGTCTGGGCTTCAGGAAGCCCACTGCACACCCAGTAATGTGCCAAGATCACAAGCTCTTGGAGGCACTTTAGGGACCAGTTTGCCCGAGAAAGAGAAGATGCCAGTTTCAGGAGAATGCAAGGGACCTGAAGATAAAGCCCCATTAACAGGGGACGCGAACATGGAGCCTGCTTGCCAGAGCTGTCAAAATGATAGCCAGGAAGTGGAATCCTGTTGTTCCTATATGACTGCAGCAACCTCCCCGATGGATTCCCTAGAGACAGTAGCTGACAATAAAACAATCTATCATTCTTTGGCTATTTCCTGCAACACACCAATGCAGCCTCTTACTCTGAGACATTTTCAAAGCTACATCAGTCCCACACAGAGGGAAAGCGATACTACTATAGTGCATCTTCTGGAACGGTGCGTCACTCAAGTTGCATCCTTAAAAATCAGCTACGAAAACAAACATCTGGAAGACAAATGCATCGGGAATGAAATGAACAACATCATTTGTAAGATGTCTCAGTACAAAAACAAAATATTGTTGCAAAACGAATGCCACTGTGTTAGCCCGAGTTTAGAGTGCCCTGGTGTCCCTCACACAAACCAAGATAATTATGAGATGGGGCTCAAAGCTAGCAATCCATATCAGCAGAAACAAAATAAGGAACTAATTTGCTTGAAAGATCAGAAATGCAAAATAAATATTTTCGATCACATGAGTCAGGTCACCGGGAGTAAGATAAATTTTGAATATGCCCAGCTAAATAATCAAGCCCTCTCTTACATAAAAGACTTTAGGCTTGAGCACAGTCCAAGTGACTCTAACAGCATGACACCTCTTAATAGGCCAACATTTTTACCTCTCTTCAACTCTGTCTGCTCGGCTGTACCCTGTGATTTTTCACAAGCCTGCACAAACAGTTCCCTGGACAAACCAATGCAAAGTAATGAATCTAAGCAGAGCAGCACATCCTCATGCAGCTACACAGAAGGATTCCACCAAGGACTCTGTCAAGGAGCCACTCTCCCTAATAACCCAGAGGTGACTACCACAGACAGAGCAGTGACTGGCAAGACCCAGTAATGACACACCACAGTAACAAGGTGAGTACTTGTAGAAAAGATTGAAATAAAACATGACAAAATGAAATGACAACTATTCTCTTTAAGGAGAATAAGGCCCAGTGCACCTTGTTCTCCTGAGTACTTGGTGTGCCTCTCAGCTTGATCAGGTTCTTAGCATCTGCTTTATAGAGATGGACAAAATAAAAAAGAAGAAAACCAACAGTTAAAATCACACTGACTCCCAAAGCAAAGGGCCACATATTGCCTCAGGTAAGTGTGAAGCTGATAGACATGAATGAGAGATCCATGCAAAGGTGAAGGAGAGATTGGGGCTGAATCTGCACCCAGTTAAAGCACCTTCACCTTTATGGTCACTCCATCAAAAAGTTTCCTTATTCTCTAATCATAACTCTGGTCATCTGAAGAAGTGGGCTGTGCCCACGAAAGCTCATGATGCCATCTACATGTTTTATTAGTAAACTAAGGTGCCTTTTAACCCCTTCCACTTTATATTGTTTTGCTTCAAATGAATAAGAAAAGTGGTTTTGGTACCCTTGTGAGCAGCTCAATTTTCAGAGTGTCGTAATTCAGGAAATCCCTTTGCTCCAATTCATTTTACATTTTCTAGACAATTTTTACTTCAGGCCCAGGACTAAAACCACTGATTTTGAGGCCAATACCAAGACTACCTGTGGATTCTGAAGGGGGCCAAAATCAGTTATGTAATGCATCCTTAACTATGGAGCTATCATCATCATGCCACTCTCCAAAAAGAAAAAAGTAATTCTATTTATTTATTTAAGTCTATTGGCTCTGCTCATTATCAGCAAAATGTTGTGCTCACAGTTACTGTGGTTGTAATGACAATCCAAGATGGCTTCTTTTCCCACTGTGGTTCCCATAATTTCTGCTTGTACCTTGCCATGAAAGAACAGGCTCTTGGAACTATCTGCTGCAGTGAGATTTATAATACAGAAATTAAACATTCATAATAAAAAAGGAAAGATTAGTGGTCACAGTTGCTACAAATAAGTCCCAATTCTGGCCACATCTGCCTAGGATCAGTGGACCAATATATACATTTGCTTACTGTGTCTATCTTAAAGTTGAGATTCATTCAGAAAGCTCTGCTATGCAGATCCCTTTTGTCTCAAGCTTGGATTGTTTGAAGGAATTCTATTTCTGATGCAAGAAGCAACCACTTTCTGCTAGAAATAGAGGGCAGAATTGTAGCTGATGTGACTGTCAGTAGTGGTAATATACTGTAACTTAACACTGTATGAGATATACTGCAGATAGACAATCATTGGTCTCAGGGCATTTTCTACTGCATCAGATCAAATGGCAGCTGTTATATGCCACCACTTGTCAGTGTAGATACCTGCAGTGCGAGGGACATAGCAGAGTTCATATGCCACAGCCCCATGCCCCAAAGAGATGTTAATATTAGCTCTTTGCAAAAGGAATGTGCTAGTTTGTGACAGATGATTTATCTAACAAAGTACAAATGAGCAGCATATACATTTTATTGATTTAAAATGTAGATGGAATTTGCATATTTGTGGGCTATGTGTTCAAATGCATAATTTCCAGGAATCATTTTGCTACAGACACCTTCATTGTGATTAACGTCTTACTGAAAGTAAATTTACACAATCATTAAAATGGCATTTAGCAAGAATGTAAGAAACAGCTGTGGGGGTAGCTATTAACTGTGTAACATGGAGTTTTCCTGTCTTGCCTCATCTTTCCTGGCCGCTCTTGAGCCTGCATTAACAGATGGTTTGAGGGTTCATTTGGGATTTTACTATTTTGGAAGATGACTGAAGATTTCTACCATATTGATGAAGGTGGGAGTGGGAGAAGGGCAGAAAATAAATAGGGCCGCTGCTCTGACATTGCAGAGAAATGCAACTGGAAGAAAATAATCCTGCTCTGGACACAAGTGCTTAAACCTAGACAATTTACACCTGACAAAAGCTCTAAGGCTGCAGCGATCTCACTATTTAAAACATCATGCTTGGGAAAGCGACTAAGCCATAGAACAAATGCTGCACTGGCAGCTTCTGTACAGGCTGCCTAGGCCACGTCTACACTAGGAAAGTATTTTGAAAATACTAAATTCGACTTTTAAATCCTGATTTAACATATTCGATCTAGCATATCCCCACTATGGGGAAGCCTCAAAATTAGACTGAGGCCGGCTCCATTAATGTGGACACGCTACATTGGATTTAGAGCCCCAACAAGCACTGGGGAGTAATTAGTTTGCATTTCAAAATAACTATTTTGGAATTAGCGTTACTCCTGATCAAAAGCAGGAGTTCAGATTTCGAACTCCATAGCCTGTTATTTCAAATAACGTGGTTGGTACTGTGAACATTCTGCTTATAAATTCAATCTTGGGGGTGGGGGGTATTTTGAAATAAAGCCCTAGTGTAGACCAGGGCCTACCGATAAAAATTCTATCTGGACCCGCAAAAGGGATGAAAGGATAATGCAGCCTCCAGGCACCCGACATTCAAACCTGGTGGTGATGGTACTTGCCATCTTCACCTAGAGGTGCCTTATCTCTACATGTTCCAGTTTCCCAGTGACCAGTGACCCATTGCTCCTTCTTCTCCCCAAACTGGCACATGGTTTCTTCCCAGCCCTGTGAGAACAAGTACACAGCTAGCTCTCTCCCTAGATTCCACAACCATATACAGCCATTCCTCTCCACCTCTCTCTACTAGCAGCTCTCCTTCCCACCCTCACCTCTGGGCCACTTAAGCCTGACAACTTTGGTAAGAAGCATGGCAATTGGGAAAAACAGCCCCAGTGGC